AGATACAGAAAGTAAATATATTTTAATATTCTTATATTATATTATTAATAACTATTTTAATATTTTATATTCTTAATATAATTATATAATAAATTAATATATAATTATAATATTATTAAATATAAAATTTATTATAATAAAATATTTCAATAATTTTTTATCGAGGATAATTAATTATATCGATTAATACTAAAAAATTATTTTTAATATTTATTAGTGATAAAAAATTTATGTTATTAGTAAAAAAATAGCAATTTAAAACTCATCCTTAAAATTCATAAAAAAAATTTAATCTAAATTAAACAATACATCCTTTCAAATATTAATATTTTATTTTGCAGATATTTTTTATATGAAATTTTTTCTTTTTGTAGATGCAATTCTTAAGATAACAAAAAATGTAAAAATAATTAAGAATGAATTAGAAAAAGCGCATCAAATTGCAATTTTATGTACAGAAAATAATAAATATGAATTAAATAAATTAAATAATTTACAAAATATATATGATGAAGCCAAAAATAACATTAATAAAGAAACAGAAAACGTTAATAAGTATAGATGTAACATCAGTATCATTTCAAAATTAATTATAAGTACTCAAAAGGAAATTACAATAATTAAAACAAATATTAAGAAGAAAAAAGCAAAGTGTTATGCTATCTTGATAAATTGTAAGGTAAAATTGAAAGTAACATATGATAAAATTAAGTATCAATTAAATATAATTCCTAACGTTAAATTAACGAATTGTAAGAGAGAACTGTATAATATTTATCGGTTAATGTTATTTATTTATATATGTATTATTTTTGTCGAATTGTTGTTAAAATTGCAAATACGGGAATTTTATTGTATAGGATAATATTATTAAAGATAATTATATCTATACTACATTACATATATCTACATTAATAGGTAGAAAATATTATTATTCCATTTCTATCTGGAAATATTGCAAATAATTTGGAAGATATAGAAATATCTGATTCATTAAACAGTGAAGAAATGCACGATATAGAAATCCTTTCACGCATAGACTTTGACATATTATCTGAAGATATTAAAAATCGAACAGAAGAAAATATTAATAACTCAAAAAATAAACTTGTGAAAGAAATTGAAAAATTACAAAATAAAATAGAATCTATAAAAAATCCAAATTTTAAGGTTTGTAAAGTTAATTAGAATAAGGATATTCATAATATTTTAGTATGAAAAATAAAATATTATTAAAATATTATTTAAAATAAATCATAGGCTAATAAAGAAATTGAACTTACAATTGAAAAATTAAAAGAAACAAATTTTAAATATCAAGAATTACGTAAGAAAATTAATTTAATTAAAAAACAATTTGAATTAGTAAAACAAGAAAGATATAATAGATTTGCACATTGTTTTGAATATATTACAACAAAATTAAATTCTATTTATAAGGTAAATAAATGTCATAATTTATTATTTTAATTTTATATTTTAATATTTTAACTATATTATAATTTTAATTTTTATATTATATATATGTAATTAAAACAATAATTACAAATTAAAAATATAATTACATATTATATATATAAAATTAAAAAAAATTAAAAAAAATATGTGATTTTATAGTGTTTAATGGAAGATGAATCCGTTCAAGCTATTCTTTTACCGGATAATCTTGAAGAACCATATCTAAGTGGTATAAATTATAGTTGTATAATGCCTGGAAAACGATTTCAATCATTTTCAAATCTTTCTGGTGGAGAAAAGACACTTGCCACAATAGCTTTTTTATTTGCAATTCATAGGTATTTTATTATAAATTCATTTTTAAATGTATTGTTTTTATTGATTTAATAAACAATACGTGTGAAAAAATTATTTATTTTAAATTTTAACTTTTATTTTTAATATTAATTACTTAATTAATTAATTAATTTTCTTTAAGAGAATTTATTATATAGTTTCAGACCGGCTCCATTTTTTATATTAGATGAAATCGATGCAGCTTTAGATACTATAAATATAAAAAATGTTGTACGTCTTATACATTCTAAAAAAAATGAAATGCAATTTATTATAATATCTTTAAAACGTGAGATATATTCATGTGCTGATGTTCTTATAGGAGTTTGTTCTGATGTAAGTTTATATTATATATGCATCTTTTTTTAATACTTTTCTACATATATTATGAAAAATTATTATTTATATTTATATATTTATATTAATTACAATGTATTGTTTTACATTTTTAGACCACTGGAGAATACCCAGAAAGTTTAGTATTTACACTTTCATTGGAAAAATATCTTATATCGCATGAAGAATAATTTTTATTTCGTAATTAAATTAAGATTTTATTTTTAAAAAATTGCTAATATATTTAAATTTATTATTTTAACAATAGTTAACAATTTATATTATATAAAAGTATATGTTATATTTTAATCAATTAAGAAAAAATTCGATTCTGTTTTTTTGTAGCATATATTGAATTATTTAAGAATTTTTATTTTTATTTTCATTTAACTCATTATATACATTATGTAATTTAATCAGAATAACGATAACATTAATATAATTAATATTTCGATATTTCTGCAATTCCTATTTAATCCTTTTTCTTTTGTATGATGAATCGTATCGATATCTGAGTCATCGCTATAAAAATAAAAGATTACATCATTGCAGAATTATTTATTAATTAATAAATTTGATATAAAAATACTTAACAAAATTATTCGGTGTTAAATAAATAAAGGACAGAATTTATCGCGAATGTTCATTGTGAAAAATTACAAGAGACTGATTAATATTACACTGGCCTACTTATATTAGAAATAGTAGCAACTCTGATTTATAGTTGGTTGCAACGATACAGGGACTTGGGTCAATGTAGTCTATTACGGTTAACGCTTTGTAAAGTAAGTCGCGCTTCGGGAATGCGGCCAAAATAATGATTGTCGTTTAATAAACTTATTAAGTTGAAATGACGCGATCTGTATTGATAATAATATCGTAGCTATAATCGATAAAAACTGAAAGATCATAAAATATGTCAACCAATTATACATATTCATTTTTATTACAATAATGATAAAATAATTGTTTTATATAAATATACCATTTATAAATATGTATGTAAATATACATTTCCAACTATTTAATTTTTAAAATTATTTTTGGATATAATTTTATATTATTTTGGATTGATTTTTAAATTAATAAATATATTCATATATAGATTCATAATTTTATTAAAAAAGATATTGATTTTTTAAAATTAAATATAATTAAATTAATTTTTTTTATAAAATATTATAAAATCACAAAAATTATCTTAAAATTTTATGATTTTGATTAATGTGGAACTTATATATTATTATTCATATACTATATTGTTGCTTGATAATAATTAACGCAATATGCCTATTGAAATACATATATGTACATATGTTTTATGTTTATATACTTATATTGAACGAGAACACTGAATATAATAACATGATGTATTGCTTAATTTATATTCTAGTTTACATTTTCGCAATATTCAAATCACAAATACAGGCCGTTAAATATATCTTATTTAAAATAACCATATCACAAATTGATAAATTTCAATATAATAATACTATTATATTTATAGTAGTAATAGTACAATTAATTTAAATATTATTATTAATATAATTTAAATAATTAGTATTTAATGTAATAATCTTATAATAGATATTATGTGACATAATTAATTTATTAATTATATAAAATTTTATTTTGACAGAAAAATTTATATTTTTTATTTTGTTTAATTATTTTTATTATTATGATTGTGAGTATTTATATTAAAACTTGTATTATTTATATAATCATAAAAATTATTTAAAACAATTTTTTTTATTTTAGATGATTTTTATAAGAAATAAAAATCTTTATTATCTTAATTTTTATGATATATAAGAAAAAATAAGTGATGTGCGATTATCGTAATAAAAGACACGTGCAATTTCTTGGTAAAGAATGATTAAAGAAACTTCTTTAAAATGAGGATGAAATATATGTACATAAAAAAGAATATAAGAATGTATTCATATATATTTATATTGCTATATCCAATTATATTCTTTTCAAATAATGGCATTAATATCATATTAATATTTATATTCTCATATTTAATTGTAGTATTGAAAATTGTTTTTGAAAAGATGTTTTTAAAATGATTAAAAAAATTCGAAAATCACCAAAAATTTATAAATTTTAACATATATACGTAAAAGTGTAAATTTAAATAATAAATTTAATTAATGTTTCTTAATTTCATTACTTTTTATGATAATACTTATTTTTCACCCTCATATGGTATATACGAAGAAAAGAAGAAAAGAAGAATAAGAAGAATAAGTTTCTCAATTGAAAAAAAAAGTACAAAGAGGGAAAAAAGATGTAGAGGGAAAAGAATCAAAGAGAAGGGATGACATCGAAGATCAAGACAGTGGGAGGACTGCATGTTGATCGTAAAACGGAGGATGATGACCTCCCCTTACAAAGCATCTGCTAAATAGATGATACGCCAGTTGTCGTATGTCTAGTTGTCCTCAGCTTCAGACGAAGGCGAGTTGGCTCTAGGATCACATTACTGACTTTATCAACCAATAGTCGCTCATGGGGCCGAAGGCCCTTCAGCTGGCCGCAGCGTTCGTCGTGGTTCAGCTTCTTCTGCCCCAAACTAGCTCTGTACGGACTAAACTTAGGAAACAACGGTCGAAGTCACTGCAAGCTCAAAAACCTGCGAACAGTGATTATGTATACGATTACTATGATAGTTATGACGACTACGATGAAAGAAATGGTAAATATAATTTTCAATTATTTGATATTTGGTAATTCTGTAATTAATATCGCATGTAAAAATTTTATCATGTAATATTTATTTAAACATTTTTTTGTGAAATGAATTTCCACTTTGCATATTTTTATTTGTGTTATATTGTTTTAGTATTGCATCAAAAAATTTAGATTAAATAAATATTTTTTTTATAATTTTTGTATCATTAAGGATTCTTGTTTTCATATAGAAATAATTAAATTTAATATCAAAGAATAAATTTTTTAAAATTAATAAGATTAATCTAATAATTAATTATATTTTTAATTAAAAGTAATTGATATATAATTAATTATTGAATATAATATATTGTAAAATTACTATCTATATAATTTCTTATAACAGATTATTTATCATTATTTATCATTTACGAAACAATTAAAGGAAGTATATATTAATAACTACCTAACTAATACCGGAAGCTTTGAATCGGATGCTTGTTTTAGCGCTTTGCG